ATTAAAAATAAATCAGATTAGTTAAAATACAATTAAAATAAATAGAAAATAATCTTTAAAGTAGGGTTTTCCATAATGTGACGCCTCAAACTTGTTTAAATTGCACAGAAATCCAGCCCTGCTGTCCTTGTTAGGTAAGATTTGTAACAGATACGCGTTATAACCGTGAATTATCATCTCGCGGGATTCAAGCCGTAAATTCAAGAAACTCGTCAACCGTGCTTGAGGAAACCCTTAATCACGTTCTTGACCACCGACCATCTCTCCGCCCGCATTTTGGTGTGCCAACATTGTGTCGTTGGGTCGTTACACGACAAAAGGCCGGCATTTCTTTTTCTGTCTTTCTCTTTGTACACCGGGTGACTTATCGGGGCCGCCTGCACCGTTACGTGCGCGCACGACAACGTCTGAGATAGGATTATCTGAATGTTTGGATGCGATACCGTTTTCCACGCTTCACACACTTCACATAATGCTTCATAAAGCTATGCAGTTTCACGCTTTATCATATACTATCTAGCTACTCCGAAGAGTATGACCATATTGACTGATACGATATCGACCAGCCCACCGGAAGAAGGATTCTGCCTTTTTCCATTTTCCTGTAAGCATTTTGTAAAGAATTTAATGTATTAACATTCGAGCTATCGGCGAAGTACAAAGGAATGTAAATGTATATATATGTCAGTATAACAGAAGTTTCAACGTTACCTTATTGACATTAAAATTAATGTGTAATTAGCGTACAAATATAAAAATTTCCTTGAAATTATCGCGTTATATAAAACGCGCAAAAATGAATGAAGACATGATTCTAAGAATTATTGCGAAACTTGTTGCGAATTATTAGCGCGGAACCTTTAGACGTTAAATCTAAGGAACGAAAGATTATATCGACATCTGCCTCGAGCAACGCATCTGCGATGTTCTTTAGCAGCTCTAGCAGGTGCGAGTCGCTCCCCCAAGAGCAGGGGAAGCAGATCCATTGTAACCAACCGACGGAAATTTTATTTCAGAAAAGTAACAAGAGAGTTCCCTACGCTAAATAAAACTTTAACGAAATAAAATATTTAAACAAGTTTCATTAACATCCTTTGGTAGACCGGGAGGCGTTAAATGCGCCGCAGCCGTATTTAAAACTGAATTAATATCGCGAGGTCTGTTACGCCCCCTCCGTTCAGGGCTAATGACATTTCACAGTACGTGGCTCGCGTATGTAGGCAGCGCCGGAATACGGGGACAAAGCGAAACGAAAACAACAGTCGACCGTTCCTTTGCGGTATTACCGCTTTCCTGCTGCTCTCTCGCAGTGTCGTAACTAGGCGAACTTTTCCGCAGCGTCCGGTGCGTGCCGTCGAAGCGCATCCAAACGCGTCGTCGTCTCCCGTGGTTAATGTGGTTATCGTGCGCCACGATAACGCCTAAAATTCAGATTGTTTCACCGTCCGGAGAGCGGAGAGCATATTGCCTCCGTCTGACAACCGGTGTTTCCGTGGTTCCTTCTCTCTCATTTTTTTGCTGCAATAAAATGCTACCTTCGCCTATACCGGGTGACTCAAGCGCGCTGCGTATCTGCGTCGTTGACTAGAAAGAATGTGCGTATTAGCGGATCCTTTACGTAAGGACGACTCGCTTCGAGATCGTTATCATCTTTACTTAGCGTCGAAGGTTGCCACTCAGTTGTCAGGTGATCAACGATGATTAAGCTCCAAAAATAAAAAGAAACCAGAACCTGACGAGCCACTCTTAATCCCAAAATTATACGAAGGATAAAAGAAACGGAATTACCGACATTACTGTTTACATAAAATTATATAAATAATCTCTTAAGCATTTTGGAGACATCATTATAGAGTCAAACAATAAATTACAGTAAGTTATGAATATATATAAATGCTTTCGAGCTATTCTAAGTATTTAAATAAACGAAATTCTTTGTACGTCGTAAATCTAACTTATTAAACGTCAGCTATAAATTCGAGATACTAATATGTCCCGGCGTTTCGTCAAGGAAATTTCCTCTCTCGCTTTTATCCTGTGAACTCACTCGTTTAACCTCAGGAACTGGAACGCGCGCGCGCACGTGTTTGACGTTCACGTATTATTTGAGAAAAGTGATAAGGACGCGTGGTAACGACGGTGGTAAGAGAACGGGCGCGGAATGACTCGCGGCGGACATTTGCCGTGACGTGACGCCATCAAGTCCTGTCGGAATGGCAGGTTCGAATACCTCGCCAGCCTGCTGCCTACCTGCCTGCGAGCAACGCACGCACCGGCTCGCGGCTGCTCCTCGCTCGTATCAATGTGTCTTCCGCCGTGCGGTGTGTTCACCGGGTGGCTCTTTAAAAGTCGATTCGCCTAGCCATTTCGCTTAGCCATTAAACCGGTCCCTTTTGTCAGCCTACTGTCGGCCGGCGCGGCGCGACTCGAACGAGTCTGCACTCTGCAGCGTACACGCTCGGACGCACACAAATACACGCAACGACGCACGCACGGACGCACGCGAACGAACGACCACCAGGCCATACGTGACACATACGCCGAGTGTTACTCATTTCCACACACAAGGTGACGGATTAATTTCTGTCTAATTGAAAGTCGCGATTAATCAATCATTTCGGCGGAGGACGGCTCCGTGGCGGCGGTTATTAGCGGTTGATTAACGCGCGCGACACGCGAATACCGTATTTCGAGGAATTCCGTTATTGTCATCGGCGGTGCTCGTTCGTGCGAGCGGAAGGACTCACAGCGATGAATTCCTTTTTTTTCCACCGTTCTGCGAACAACGCTCCATTGTAGCTTTACGAGAATGTCGAGGAAGCTCGAATTTTTTATGTATTTTTAAATATATGTAGTAAATGCACGCGTTCACTTTAGATCCCAATACCAAGTATTTAAATTTACCATAGGATTATTAATATCTCGATTGCAAATTAAGCAAAGACCGCTAATTCCGAACTGATCGCGCAACACAAATAATCGTGATATCGATTACTTCCCTCGTGTATCGTAATTCGTGTATCGTAATTTAAAACGATTTTAGAGACGAGTCGCGAACAGGACGAAGAGTGGGCGTTCGTACGATACGAAACGTTATCTGCGCGACGTTAACCTTTTCAGCATTCAAGGAACGGCACCGCACATACATATAATAATAAACGATAAATAATAATGAATGAGACTGACGCGCTTAACGTCTGTTCGTTGACGAGTCAGTCAAACATGTTTACGGGATCGTCAGACCCCGTCGATCGACGAGACCCGTTAAATTTCGTCATCCCGATCGATAGGAGACGAGCCGGAGCGCGAAAACGGTCGCGAGCGACGGCGAATCCTGCGGTAAAAGTGCAATCTGACATTTGAAGGTACTCGCGTGCGAGCCACGGCGTCCTTGGGTCAGTTCGCGACGTCAGAAATTCAACCTGATCGCGCGGGACCGCTTACGTTATCGCTTACGGTTACGTTCGCGCACCTGTGAATCCCTCGTTCAATTCCCGTCAAAGGGACACGGCCGGAGTAACGTGTTTTCGATCCTATCCTTCCGTGGAATCTCCGCGTGCAAAAACACGACTCCGAGAGCGCAGGCACGCGCAGGTATATAAACACGGGGAGCAGGTAAACAGACATATCGGAGTCGATATTCCGGGAACTCCGGATTTCGAAAGACAGCAAGTCGAATTTCCCGTTCAAATTGAGCTTGAATCACAGAGAGACGATCGATGTGAGAAACTTTTTCACGTCCGCGGCACAGGAAATCAGACTCCCCGGTGTATACCTGCGCGTCACTTTCGGTCGCCTGAAATAAGTGCGAGAGGTCAACTTTGTTTTGATATCGCGCGCAATGTGATTGAACGTGAGGCGCGATGAGACGAGTCCGCGGTGAACAGAGAACGAGCGGAAAAGGCAGTCAAGTCGCGAGGACACGCACCTTGCGCGTTAACCCTTCCTCGGGAACCGACGGCGAAGGAGGACGGCTCGACCTTTGCGCGCGCGTTCTCCGAGTTCTCTCCACCGTTAAGTTAACCGCGGCGGCGCTTGTCCCTCTTGGTAAAAATGCCGAAATAGAAAGTCGGAGTCGCGCGCTCCGACACGGTGCTCCCCGAAGGAACGTTTTCCACCGTGCTCGAGACGGAGGACACATTGCACACGGGGGCACCCGAGGGAAATTTGAAGGCGGCGATTCTCTTTCTTTTCGGGAGAGAGACCCGAATATAAACGCGCACGAGGCGTCGCGGCGCGCAACGCGGAGTGTATTATCGTGTTTTCACTTACCGGCCGCGATGGATCGTTGTGCTTCCCGGTGACTGACGTTCCTTGGTCGGGCCGCCGCTTTCCAGGAAGAACCGTAATTCACCTGCTCGGACGGGCACGCGACTCACCAGTGCGAACGGGGAAAAGTACGTTTGAGAGTCCAGGCGGGACCGGCGCGCGCAACGCCGTCTGGCGGCAGTGGCGGCGCGCTGGCGCTCCTCGCGCCCGCCATCTTGAATTGTCGCCACGATGGCGGTCGGCGGGAAAAGTCGGACTGCGCGCGAGATCTGGGCAGAATATTTTCATCCAGATTAGTAACTAAGAATGATCAATCGCTGGACAATAACAAAAGTTAAGAAATAAAATATACAATAATTAAACTAAACAATAAGATAATTTCCACGTTCAGCTGCGCCTTGAAAATCTCAAAAATACTTAAAGGAAGAAATATAAAGATGCGATACGATTAGCGCTGCGATCAGAGATCGCGCGTATTAATATTAATAATAATATATAATAAAAAATGAATATCCGTTAATATGTCTGCTTAAATATATATATAACAATCTTATTAAAAAATTCATTAAAATACCTAACTAAAATATCGTGAATCTTATTTAAAAAGTTTTTCTATTAATAGATAATACATATTGCATTAAAGTCCCATTGAAAACTCTGGGAAATCTTTGTACTATAATAATTATACAAATTCAATATACATATACATATAATCTTCGATCCGCGTGCGGCAGGTTCGAGTTCGGTTCCGTTATCACGCGACCGCGGATGACATTTCCACTATTTCCAGGTTCGTGAGAGCTCTCCGGCTAGGAGTAGAGGCTAGGAGCTAGGAGGAAGGCGGAGGAAGGCGCATGCCTTCCCGTCGAGCATCGAGCGCGCACTCGCGCAGCGCGTGGCGAGTGGCGACGGCCCTGGCACACCGCGGTGATACGCTTTGACACTTTGACATCCAACATGGCCACCTGATGTCTAGCAGACGATACACACAGGTGGCATGGGAGAGCTGTAAATAAAATCCACCCTCTAGATTTAATTATGAGCGGACGTGTGCAGAAGGAGAGTGCCGATGATTTCGATCGCGTTGACGATGCAGTGGACCCGCGAGTGCAGGTGAGTGCCGTCGCCCGGATGAAACCGCGGGGGGGGGGGGGGTGCCCCCGCGACTCTCTCGGCGGTATCGACACTTTCGTCGTCGTCGGTGAGAAGAGGCCTCCTTCCGCGATTAAATCATGCGGAAAAAATCGCGTCGCGCGGCACGCTCCGACGACGATTTTCATCACGAGTTTCGGTGTGCAAAGCTAGTTCATTTTCCTTTGCAAACGTCTCCTACTTTTTCCCTTCCCTCCACCCGCCCACCCGCTCACTCGCTTACACACACACACACACACACACACACACACGAGCGCGCGCGCGCGCGCGCCACGAGTCATAAAACGTCCCCGATTCTTAATCCCCCCTTCTCCACCCGGTCGGGACGGCCTATTACTATGACAGCGCGTGCTAAATTATCCTCGTTGCCCGGTAACTCCGTCTCGACGCGAGAAATTGGAGCACAATGCATAGGGCTTCTTTAATTTATATGTAAATATTGGCAATGCGAGGAAACATATAAATTATTTTTTCAATTAAGAGATTTATGTCTGTTTAAAATATAAACTATATTACGGCATATAAAATAATGGACATTATTTAAAAAAAAAAAATGATACATAATTTGTATGTCTTTTTTATGTAAAATACATATGTGATATTGTTTCAGATTGAACTTGAAAGATTGAACACAGCTACGGACGATATTAATAAACTAGAAGTTGATTTAGATGTAAGTATCGCTTTTTATTAAAGCATGACCTTGAGTTTGTAACAGTCCCTAGCCTGTCTAGATTTCACATTGATATATATGAATGACGGCTTGAGCAACAAAGTTGCTGGCAAGTTTTGAAACTGGTTGCGATTAGATTTTATTGAGATGATTGCTGTGTAAGATACATGTGTAAATGGATAATGACTTGAGACGATGATCTTAACAGCAGTCCATGATGACTTCAACCAAAGAAATAATTTTTAACTTAAGACAGCAGTTGTGATAAGGAATTATAAATTATAACGCATACTTTAATCTTTCTATCTCATAGAAAGATTGTATTTTGTCATTTTTAGGAAGCAAGAGCAACCTTTAGAGAATTATTATGCGAATCAACAATCAAGATTGACACTTTGGCTAAGAAACTTGGAGCTTGCATTGAAAAATCCAGACCATACTATGACGCCAGGTTTAAAGCGAAAGAGGTAAGAATCTCTTTGGAGATATCTATAATTATACAAGTACAATAGATATCTAGATATAGATTTACAAATAAAGATTTATAAATATTCTTTTTAGGCATTACAAGAAACGCAGAAGGCTGCGATTAGATTTGAGAGAGCCAACAGTCAGCATGCAGCAGCTAAGGAAATGGTTTATTTAGCCGAGGAAGGACTACGGACCGAAGGAAGATGTTTTGATCACGCTTGGCAGGTAAAACACAATAATATCAAGTTTTAAAAAAGATTATATATAGGCAAGGTATTACGAAATATATTGTAGGAAATGTTGAATCATGCTACGTCACGAGTTAATGAGTCGGAGCACGAGAGAGCTCTCTCTGAAGCGGAGCATAGACGTACGACTGTATTATATCACAAAGTGGAACACGAAGTTCAAAGGTTGCAGCGTGATTTGAAGCGTACTATTGCCAAATCTAGGTACGTGGAACTTGTCATCCTTCACATTAATGGAGCTCGAGTATATCTATCTTCCTGTTTTGTTATAATGCACGAAGTTATTGCATACAGTTATTTTTTATATAAATCACTTTAAGAGCTAAACCTTGTATACAACCAAGTTAATGTATCAGAACACGATAACTGTTTACATATGAAACTTCTTGTTGTTTCTTCCCATTGCTATTGATATATTTTATCTCTATTCAAAAAATCATCGAATTACTTTCGAATGATTATTACGTTTATGTTGTTTTCGATAGACCTCTTATGGTATTTATGTGTTTTGGTTATATGTTCATGTTGGCAGTATGGGTGCACGCCGCAGCTTGCTTCTGATAAACAGTATCGCCTACAGGCACAACTTGCTCATGTTGTAAGTAGGATAGATATTCTTTTTTATTTTTTTAAAATACGCAACATTTTATTTCACATTTTTGTGTGTTATCAAACTATCTCTCTGTTCATTTATTTTAATCATTACCCTGATTGTGCATGAATTACATTTTTTAGAATATTTCGACGTACGTACAACTAGTGCTAGTTTTCTTTGATTGAGCTTTTCACGATAGATAGACTGCACACAAAACTCAAGTTGCTTTTCCCCAAATCAAATATTGCCATGCAATAACTTGTTATGCATTAGTAATATATTCAAATGCCGATTGTAAAAACGTGTAATTTTTACATAGCTCCAACTTAATCAAATATTACATAATCACGTAGGCCTTACTATGAGATGAGAGCGCACTTTAATCAAATGTTGGAGGAGCAGAAGATGAAGGTCAGTGCGCTGGAGAGATCAGTTGGCGAAGCAAAAGCTTCGTACGCGGAAGCGTTACGAAATCTGGAAAAGATCAGCGACGAGATTCACAGGGTATAAATATATACTTGTGTGAATATAATGATGATTTGAACCGTGTACAAAACTTTCATTATACTTTCGCTAACAGACGAGAAGATACGATGGTACGGACGAGTACGATAAGAGTGCACGAGACGCATCCGATCGCTCCACCGCGCAAATTAATACGGCAACTCCAACGGATTCCAGCGTAACTGGATCCCCGGACAGCACGGATTACACTAGCGACGAATATTTACGTCTCCCCGACAAGATGAGTCCGAACGCGCTATGTCCCATGCCTACAAGAGTAAGTGTACATCCCTGGCAAATCAAACTTCTTAATTTTGTTAATTGATGAACTATGCTTTCTTTTCAGATCGAGAGAGATTCATCGTCGGAGTACCTGGGCCTAAATAATTTGAACCTTTCATCTACCGAACCTCGTAAATATATAAAACGGGACCGTCCACGAAGCATCGCCGCGACCGACTCGAAACATATCGTATCTCTAAATCATACTAGTTCTTCTGCACCAGGCCTGACGGATCTGTCGGGCATTATATCTCCGGTCGAGAAGAGAGTGAAGATTCAGACGCCCGTAAATGACCGCAAGAATAAATCTAATTCTCAAAATGGGGAGGAATGGACGGAAATTAGCCTGAACAATTCGCCGGACGAGATTTACTACAATAATGACGTGTACTCCGACGAGGAAGACCAAATCCCCTACAAACCGTTACCGATGGATCTAAGTCCGGAACTTGCTCAGGCAATTAATATCGCCGCCGAGCCGCCGAAAGAACAAATCAATCGAAAAAGATTAGTAACGCAAAAATCTTTACCCACAATGTCGAAAGTAAACGAAGTTACTTTAACCGAAGAGAAGAAGGCTGAAGTTACGAGAAGTCCATCAGTGAAAAATAGAAGCAAGCTCGACAGTAGCTTAGCCAATTGGATAACTAGAAGTTCAGCCGGTGGTGAAACTAGTGGTGGTAGTTCCAGTAAGTGGATGAAAGTGTCTTCGAAAAATTTTATATGCTTTAAGACGCACGTTTATACAAGCGTATTGTTATTTCAGCAAATTCAAGCAGAAGACAATCTCTTGATATGTTGTGGAGTGGCGGTACCGGGGAGCGCGTTAAGGAATTACTCAATCACGGTATGATGATGCTAAACATATCCAGCTTAACGGAACGACGTTCCAGTGAGCCAAAGACAGTAGAGAGAGACAAGGACAAGTCTGAAAAATCTGAAAAATTGGAAGTTAAAGGGAAAAAGGTCCCAAGCCCGTTAGAGAAAACAATGAGCTATCTCAACGCCGACGAGGAGACGTCGGACAGCGAAAGTTTAGCTAGGTAAGTTTCCACTGATATATATATCTCTGATATATTCTCGCCAATCAATGATATCTTAATTCTTCTTTCTCTTAACAAACTCCCGATTAGCGTGGAGATGCTAACGGAAGATCAGATCTCTTCACTCATGATGGAGCCGGACATGAATCAAGTATGCCAAGAGATTCTGGGAACTCCCCTAGTCGAAGTATGCCCGCTGTTGCAACAGTTACAGCAACAATAGCCTTATCGCGGAGGAATTTGCACGACAAAGTGGCAAAGATTCAACAATAGAAAGTGTTCAAGATCATTATAAAATGGTAACACAATTAAGATACATCTCCTTTCCGTTAAGCTACTACATACTATCATGTTACGTTTCTGTCTGTTGCGTGTCGTAACTTATAGATTTTTCTATTATGTGATATAGGGCAAAGTAAAGGTTGTATTTCTGTGTAATCGTCATATTTGTTTTCGCGAAGACATTTTTCATGGGTTTTACTCGGTATCGTCAAGTTAATCTGTTAGTTAGAAAAATGATGTCTAATGCTTAGTAAAAATATACTCGATTGAGGCTTTTAGTCAATACAGAACTTGCGTTAAAAGCGTCTCCGTTAACTTAATTCCTCGGGCACTACGAAGCCTAATGTCATCTTTTGTGGATATACGCTTACACGACGCATCTCAGCTTGGGAGGACGTTTCCGAATTAATTCTATAAAATCTTTCTAACACTTAGGATTTGGTAAAACTATGAAACATCATTCGCTGAGAAAGCAATATGTAGTTACTTTTCTAGGACATTGCGTAGTTTAATCTAGATACTCGTACATAAATTTATTCCGAGTCGCAATGACTATTTTTTGCTTGCCTTTATATGCGACTGCTCACGTTAAAGTCTCTCGGAGCGTTTAACAAATACATTAGAATATTATACAGCGAAATATCAAACGATCTAGAGATTCTAGAGAAATTGGGTGAACGAAACAGGATGCGTTCACCACGCTACGTTCGAAGATAACTGATTACGATAAGCACTTTGTTTATTTCTTTCTCTCTCTCTGTCTCTCTTTTATCGAAATACGATCGATTGGTCCATTAAGTACTCGCGAAGCGTACCGCCGAAAGAAACAAAACTTATACAAAAGTTACAAGTTGCCAATTATGACTGCGATGGTCAGATTATCTATAAAACGCGGAACGAACTGTACATATATAAGCATAGCATAATAATACAATTCTAAACGTATGTAAGTCTGTGTGCAAAACGTACTGTCAACATCACAAGTACCCTCGAGAGGTACTCGTTTTGAGTTTCATTAATTCCAGCTGTACGTTCGATCAGCGACAGCACGTTTTGAACACAGATGATCGGAACTCGCGGCTTCGGCAGTCTGTTTCATATACGAAGTTTCGCGACATAAGTAAGACGATAGTATTCACCGCAGTCAGATTCAGCAGGATATTTTTCAATATTTTTCGCTGCGACGCGATAAAGGGACGACGCGTGTCTATCGAATAAATATCTTACGGCTGTCCCGAGATCATTGTACGATAAGCGAGAGGAGGACGACTCGAATATTATACAAATTATCGTAAATATTGCGGAGTAGTTTGGACAGCCGAACGATATCCGATCATGATAATAATAGATCGCAGACGCGTGCTCGAGTGGATTTAGGCACTCGAGATGAGTGAGATTTAAGCGTAGCTCCATCATTTTTATTGCCGCGTATTGTGATATAGCTCTTAACGATTTTAGACGTTTAGTTTTGGATTATCCAATTGTCGGACGAGAACATTAGTGCAAAGGATGCATACAATATGCTATTTATAAAGAGTAATATATACATACATATACATAATATATGTAAATTATTTATATATAGATTAAGTTATATATATACACAATATACAGATCCTATTTATTTTGAGCGTAACTTTCTGTAAACCGGCGTTAATTGACACAATTCATACAGCGTTCGTCAATTTTTATAAGGACGGTGGTAATTGTTGCTTTTTAACAGGGAATTGTTTTACGAGACGTCGCGTGCGTGTGTGCGATTTAATTGCAATTAAGCGTCGGAATTATTTAGATATCGCGTTTCGAAAATGTTGCAGCGCATACGCGCGCGCACACACACACACACACCGATGTCGTCCTTGGTGAAAAAATTTCTTACATTTTCTCAGCAATTTGGTAAGAATTGAGACTTATAAAAAATTCTGAAAAAAAATATATAACATTTCTCAGATATTTTCAGAAATAATTAGACGAGAATTTTCGGAATATTTCAGTATACGTATGTATGAAAATTTCTAATAAATTGCAGATTTTCTCATTTTTATTCAGATTTCTACAAAGATATGCTGGCGAGAAAAATCTGAAATATTGTATTCTTATCACGTCTGAGTTTTTCTGAAAAACGTTCCAATTAAAAAGTTTAAAAAGTATAAAAAATTTGAAAAATTCTGAACATTCTGAGGAAGTCTGAAAATGTTTATAGAAATTCTAATAAATAATATGAGAAATTCTGAGACATTTTTCCACCAAGGATTGCCACCGTTCTGTAACATAATATAAAACCCGGGATCTGAATATTTACACGTACAAAACGCGACAAGCCGCGTAAATCGCTCATTCGAATTATTCGCTCGAAAGTATATCGTGAAAAAAAAATAAAAAAATAAAAATTAGACGCGATTATCTCGTATTGTCTTGACGAATTGTTTTTCGTGAGAAGTGCTTTCCGGGGCGGTGCACACTCTTAGGTTGTAACGTTGCAACTCCGTATGAATGAAAATTGTAGGAAATTTGTTGGGCAACGCGATTATCGAGAAAGATGAAAATCGTTCGTCGAAATTCTGCGTAATCGCAGCGTCGCGAGAGGCATTTTCCTCGTCCAGCGTTTTTTCTTTAAAAAAGTTACGTTTACGACTAGCGGGGACGCGCACAGCGACGACAAATTATACTGTACATACCTATTATTGTATATGTGAATGTAAACTATGTATATATATCATTATCCCTCATTAAAACCTCATTGCGAAATGCGCTTAACGGGAACATGAACATGACTCACCCGCCGAGATCCGTTCGAATTCAAATCTGCTTGCAACCTCTGGCTCCGGCTCGAACCGCGCGCAACTTCACGCACTTTACCATTCCAGTATTCTGAGGCGTAATTAACCGCCGTCGCCATTAAAGCAGACGAACGACAAATGCCACGCTTATACGGTCTTGTTAAACACGCGTCGGATCGACATTTTTATACATTTTGACTCACCTGTCGCTCGTCGGTGGATTTCAAATCGTCGTCGACTGGATGCGTGGACGCCATGGCTGGAGTCGTCGTCCGACAAGATCGGGAGCGATTCTACGTTTGATCTCACGATACACGATACTTCTTTTGTCTTCTTTTTCGGTTTTCCTCTTCTTCTTCTGCTCCTTTTTGCGTGACAGCGGAAAGCGAGCGATCGCAAAACGCAAAAATACGTGATCGCGTTTGAAATTGAAACAAACGGGTCAAGGTTGGCGCAACAGCCGCGCAGCGGCGCGTCTGCGGCGGCGCGGCTAGAGCTCTAGATCTATAAGTAGCTCTGTGGCTACGTATAGACTGTGTAGAGTCCCTCTAAAATGCCGGGATTACGATGAACGGGACGCGACGGGACGCGACGGAACGCGACGGAACGCGACGGGACGTTATCGCCGTAACGTGAAACAGCGTGCATTGAAAAATGATTTGACAGCGTAGCGTGAATAGAAGGTTATTCTCGTTGGTAACTACCGTTCTTGCTTGGTAATTCCAAATGAATTCTGCTATGAGGCATTATCAGTTTCTTAACTTAATTTTGGCCGGATATTTGTATCTTCAACTGCGGAAGAAGAAACGAGTACGAACCGTTGGTGTGAGAGAGATTTTTCGGAGAAGAACCCAGTTTGGTGATGGACATAATTTACTTGAAGAACTCCGTTTCCGTGATCCACTCTTTTTTTTTATTTACACAAGGATGAATGTCGAAAGGTAAGATTATATTATTATATTATTATTATTATTAGGTATTATTATTTTTTTTTAGAGGGACTCTAGCTACGTGAGTGATTTATAGTAACTCAAGGACACTCAAGGGTCCGCGGTTCGATTCCGGCCCGCCCTTCACCCCACATATATACCTCTTTTTTTAAGAGGTGGATTGCCCCAGTTTAACGGGAGGTTAAAGATTAAGGGTTCGATCTATACGGATTAACAATCCGTTTGTGAGTCCAGTAATATTCATGCGTCGTCAGTGCAACTGAAAATTTAAGACACGCCTTACGGCTCACACAATTGATTCGTCCTGGCCATCTTAAGGGCTGTATAGCTCGCAAGCCATAATTTAAGAAGAAGAAGAAGACTGTTCGTCACTGCCTGTCTCATATTCATCGTATCTCGTATTGTCACTTACTTCAACACGTGGTCCACGTGGAGCAAGGTAATGAACTTATACAAGTAGATATGAATCTTTACAATATAACCCTAGACAGACTCACTTATTTTTCTCATACGTGAATGACTCACTGGGGTGTGACGATACCCCAAACTTGTACCGCGTGTGTAATATTTCCAGAATGTTCTTAGAAAACTTTATAATAGATAATTTTGTTTGTTGTTTAATAGGGAAGACGATAGTAGTCATCAATTTGCGGTAGTAAAAAAAAAAAACAGTAAAAAGATTTCGAAAAACAAGAAAAAGAACCAAAAATTGGACTAAAATGACTATTTTTATAAAAAATGCTGTAGTTTTTCATAAAATTCACCGATTTTAAAATTTCCAACGGATTTTGAAAGACGAATAGACAACCTTCAAGGGCATGTAAGCGATTTTTTCGTTTCTTAAAAAAAACATATTTCTTTGAACATCTGAAGTAGAGGAAATGATGAAAAACTGTCGGATGGGAAAAATCGCAAGAAATGAAAAGTAAAACAGATTCTGTCGATTATTATTTATTTGAAAGGTAGTCAAAAGTTATAAAAGTATATGGAAACAGTAAAATTAACTACACAAAAACTTTACAAAGTTTTAATCAGTTGCTGTGCAAGAACAGCAAAAATGAAATAATTGACCGAATCTTAAACAATTATATATGAAACAGGGGTAGAATTTTCCGGGGAGTGCTATAAAGTGTATAAATTTTTCGTTACCGATTTTCACAAAAAATCTGAAATATACTTTACTGTGGTAAATATCGAGCGTAAATGACTCACTGGGGTGTACCAAACGATTTTCTTTTTCGGTCACAGTTGCTGCACGGATCTAACGCACTCGCTGAATCACAGAGGTCGACTGCCGGATGACTTTTTTTTTTTGAGGTTAACTCCGATTGGAGTCATAAACGCCTTCACTGCCGGATGACTAAACTGAATTATGGTTAGGGTCTCGGTATGAAAACTAACCTTCCTAAGGCAGGGGCTCAATTTGAATTTTGCGTGGGGTCCCGTAACACCCCAGTGAGTCTGTCTAGGGATAATTATAATAAATATACCGGGTGAGTTTTATTTCATGTGCCAATTATCTTTGCCAATTATCTCCGATAAAGTATTGGTTTATTGGAAAAATGTTTCAGATAAAATTGGACGGTTCAAAGGGGCCAATAGATGCCGCGATCTTATTAGAATATTAGATTTTTGGTCCGGGACCCGTGTTAAGCCCAGTAGGGCTCTAGTCACATTTTTTAAAATAAAAACTACTATTTTTTATTACATCGTCTTTTTCTACTAATTAATTTTACCAACTTTTGTCTGAAACATTTTTTATTTGCTTTATACTTTTTGAGATATTTAAAGAAAACTTGGTAATTTTTTCAATGTATATTGAAGCTTCCCTGGTAACCATTCCTTTGCAAAATTCTGCTGTAAAACTGCACGAAAAGTCGTGCACTAACTTTCGGGCAGATCATGCGTTTTCTACTTCCAACTTTGACTATTTTTCTGTTGGCAGAAACTTGCTCTCGTCGTAGTGCAACAGAATTGTGGAAGATATGTGTATGCATTTACATATAGCAGAATAGTGCAAGAAATGCGGCAGATGCTTGTGCAAACACAAAATATTTTTAAAATATTTTTTAGGAAAATTAAAATAATTTACAAAAATATTTTTTATATTTATAGCACCGCAGTGGTGTTGGGTAAGCCTTGCTGGCAAAGATTATCGCGAATGTCATGATTTTGCTTCGCGCTTCGCCGGAGGCCTGCTTATATTAGATCCCAACTGAAATTTACTTGCGAGTTAGTTTTACCATTATGCGCCGCCTAGCGGTATTGTTGCAAACTAGCACATACAGCAGAATTCAACAAGAATTACGGCAGATGCTTGCGTAAGAAGTAGAGCAGCAGAAATACAAATGATTTTGGCAGAAATAAGCAAAACAAGGCAAATAAAAGCTCGTTCGCGACGATGGACGGGCGACAGTAACAAAATATTACAAATTCTACAAATTGAATAAAATATATATAATAAAGTAAACGTTTCGGTCCTTGGTTTGGACCCTCCTCAGTACATATAGCTGGTCGAGTGAAATGCAGCACAAGTAGTAAAAAATGCAGTTATTCCGCTCTCCGATTATGAGAGTGTGGATCTCGTATCCTCAACGTGACTGTTACCTTTTCCATAAAAAGAAATAAATTAAACAAATATATATAGTCATACCTTAAAAAGTGATCACAAGAGTTACCTGACAGTCAAATTGATAAGATATACGACACCATCTCTCCGCGTAATACAATAAGTATTACGCGGCATTTTTTACTACTTGTGACCACTGCATTTCACTCGACCAGCTATATGTACTGAGGAGGGTCCAAATCAAGGACCAAAACGTTGACTTTATTATACATATTTTATTCAATTTGTAATATTTTATTACTGTCGCCCGTCCATCGTCGCGAACGAGCTCTCGAACGAGCTTTGCCTTGTTTTGTTTATTTATCGTTATTGAGAGCGTTATCTTTGTTATTTTGGCAGAATATACCGTACATCTGATTTATCAATCAAACATTTTTCGAAATTCGTAACGCCAAAATGGACCGTATAGCCTACATCTCACAGCACGAAGCTATAACAGTTTCACAATCTCCACTTAACTTACAGTAATTATTTCTATAAATATTTCTAACATAAATTAAAAACAACTTTAATAATATTGATGATAATTATTTACACTTTATTTTAAAATATTTATTATAATCTTTTAGATACTTTTATTTTCCGGACATTATAATATTTACAAAATATTCAACGTATATTTTCAAAATATTTAAATCTTTTTTATAAATATTTTATAAATATTTTATAAATATTTTGTGCTGTCTGGGAGTTTAGCGCGCTCGGCTGTTCTTTTTCTGACGGGCAGATGCTTGCACGCTTTTTTCGCATTTCTGTCACTCGGATCTATACGGCAAAAACAACAATTTAAGCGACATATACACTTGTGAAATTTTGCGGCAAATATGTTTCAAGAGTTTAGCACACTCGACTGCTCTTTTTCTCACGGGCAGATGCTTGCACGTTCTTTTCACGTTTCTGCCGGTCGGATCTGTACTCAAAAGATACTTCCATATTGTTTTCACATTTTTGCTACATGTTTACTTTTTTAACAAATAGTATAAAATTTCACCGTAGTTTCTTACAGCAGACTACTGCAATAGTACAGTAAGTACTCGTTCAATCACAGATATTATGCACTTTTGTTGCAATTTTGGACTGTTTTCTTGCGCACTTCTTCGGGACGCATCTGAACTACCAAACTGGTTACCAGGGTTACGATATCTCAATAATTGTTTGTCGGAGGAAAGATGAGTGGTACAGGAATTTTTACTTAAATTTGTCTCAAGAATATACTGTTGCAATAGTACCCTAATTTTTTTAATATTATGTATTGGGTTGGCAAATAAGTTCGTTCGGTTTTTTCCATTCAAAACCAGTCAAAAAACCGAACGAACTTATTTGCCAACCCAATATATATGAAAGTTTCAAGGAGATGGGGGTTTCTCTCTATTTAATAAATTTAACTTGGGCGCTACTGGACCGAACACGGAACTCGGACCTAAAATTTAATAAAATCTAAAATCGTTTATTGGCCCTTTCTGAACCCTTCAACTTTTATCTAAAATATTTCTCCAGTAAACCAATACTTTCTGAGATAATTGGTGGAGATAATTGGCATACGAAATAAACTCACTCTTTATGATATTATAATATCATTTTGTATGACGTATACATATATGGCTAATAAAGCACAAAGATTACTACATTATTACATTATTACTTTATATCTTTTATCTTTTTTCAGAGAGAGAACATGACATTCAATTATCATTCTTCACATTGCGATAGTGATGTCCAATATCCTTATACTGACAGAGTAGTGATAGGAGAGGATTATGTTGATTTCATATATCAATTTGTGAAGGACAGCAATATATCCGCAAAAAACTGTATGAACATTACTAGCATAAGTAATATTCGTAATAATATAATTGGAACACCTCGCAATTTTCCAAACCATGAAAATTTTCTTATGGTATGTGCATTTTCTGATATCTGTTATATACGAATATAAAAGAAGCGGACTAATTGAGACGTGATGAATGATACGCAAAAGTTATTTTAAAGTTTTAAATTTTCATATATTTTCCAACCTTAGTAAACTGCGCGCCGACTAAATTGTCAGACTTGAAACACAGTTCCGGGTTGGAATAGTAATAATCCTCTCCTGATATTATCTGTATAATTATTATTATTATCTCTATAATTATTATTGTTCTATAGAATTATTATATTTCTATAGAAAGTAATCGCAATCTAATTTTATGCTATAACTTTATGCTTTGGTAATAGTCAGTACTTTTGCTTCCTCCCTTTACGGAAAGAAACTACAGCGGATTACAGAAAATTATATTACAGGAACTACATAAAAGTATTACACAAAATTACAGACTGAAGTATTGTAATATATTGTAATATTTTCGTACTATACGCTCGGATTACAGGAAAATATTACAGGAAAATAGCCTGTATTCTGTCATTTAGTGGCTCCCGCTTGATTTTAGAGGATTTTCCTCTGAAATACGGTCTCAAGAAGATATTTTAAAATCTAGAGGAATATCCTCTAACCATGAGACACTAGACTTAAGATTGCAGTTCTCTTAATACTAGAGGACACTGATTTCCGATATTCACCCGGCATAAAAAAAAATTTTTTTTTTTCGAAATTTTATTACTTTTTTATAAATAAATTTTTTTCGTCTATGATTATAAATATTTTCTTGTATTTGAAAAACACACTTACTTTGGTGGGATTCGAACTCGGGACCTCTGGATCGTGAGCCAACTGCCTCACGTGGTAAACTACTTCTTAATTTGATGTAAGTGTTATATATAGTCTACATATGTCATAACCAGCGCAAATATATAATTTTTTAAAAATTATTTTAAGAAACAAATTTCCCCACTTATCAGTAGAATATTTTTTTTTTGTGAATATCTTGCCGATATTACAGGATATAATAATAGCCTGTAATATCACTATGGAATTATAGAAAAATAATCTGTAGTGTATAATTATAATACATGTAAGAAAAATATATATTTGTATGATGTCAAAATGGCGAATACCCTGTATACACACTGATACTTTATATTTTTTTATATTTATTTACTTATAAAATATGAAATTAAAAAATAATAAAATGTGGTTAAAAAGTGATACATTAAATCTAATAAATTTCAAACAATATTTATAGAAATAATTTATATACAGCTGCATTGAAGTAAAAGTATACTATATATGGAGAAGTAAAAACCACAGTGGTGTAACTCAAATTTTTAAAAATCTTTTTTTGTGTGCATAGATGCAATTTATATATTGTCCAGATTGCATCTATGCACACGAGAAAATATTTTTAAAAATTTGACTTACACCACTGTTGTTTTTACCCCTCCATATATGATAAGACTCGCTATTTCAAATTTCATGGATTACTGGTAGCATTACGTTTAAAACACGCGTGTAGTAGTGTATTACACATTTTGTAGATTACATGTGTAGTATACTACACAAGTCACTTACCATACGTGTAGTATATTACACATATAATGGATTACACGTGTAGTCTACTACACAAGTCACTTACCACACGTGTAGTATATTACACATATAGTGGATTACACGTGTAGTGGATTTTACACTTTATGATTAGACATGTATTCCATATTACAGGAATTTCACGTACTAAAAGAATTACAGCGTGTAATAACTACAGGGGGTCCTGTAGTAACTACACAAGTGTAATAATATTTACTGGCTGTAGTTTCTTTCCGTAAGGGTCATAGAGGAAGCTTTGTTTTCGTGAAAAATTTTTTTTTCAAGTATCTTTGGCAAAGTGTTTAGATGAATGTTCTAAAACATCAAAAAATCACTTTTGTACAAAATGTCTGTGTGTGTGCGTGTGTGTGTGTGTGTGTGTGTGTGTGTACGCTTTTATTGTTTGTTTATGCTCTAATTTCCGTAATTTTTGAGCTATCAGGATGCATTTTTTTTTAATCGATAGAGTATCATGTAAGGAAGGTTGGGATTGAATTTGGCGATGATTGGTAAAGCGGTTCTTTTTTAATAAAATTTAGAATTTTTGTAGAAATGTTCGTTTATGCTCTAACTTCCGTAATTTTTGAGCTATTGGGATGCATTTTTTTTTAATCGATAGAGTATCATGTAAGGAAGGTTGGGATTGAATTTGGCAATGACCGGTAAAGCGGTTCTTTTTTAATAAAATTTTGAATTTTTGTAGAAAAGTTTGTGGTTGCTCCTAATTTCCGCTAATTTTGAGATATCGGTTATTTCTAATTTTATTATATTTTTCAGTCTTTTCTACCCCTATTTCATATATAATCTTTAAGATTTGGTTGATTAGATTCAGCTTCATATGCGATCAAAGATCCATATATGCGAAAGTCCATATATCGACCATGTAGTGTAAAAATTAGTAGGAATCATTTTAGTAAAAACATTAATTACTTAATTGATTTTTGTAATAGTATAACAGATATTAGTATAACAGATATTAGCCGCAAAAGTTTATCACAATAAAAAAAAGTGTGCAAGTAGAAACTTGCACATTGCTTCCTCATAGTTTTTAAGTGTGGAAGTAAAAACTTGCACATTGCTTTCTCATAGTTTTTAAGTGTGCAAGTAGAAACCTTCGCTCACAAAGCTTCCTCTATGAGGAAGCCAAAACAAATAAATACTAATAATTATGCATCGAATAAAATACAAGCTTCCTCATAGAGGAGCTTTGTGAGCAAAGGTTTCTACTTGCACACTTAAAAACTATAAGGAAGCAATGCGCAGGTTTCTACTTGCACACTTAAAAACTATGAGAAAGCAATGTGCAAGTTTTCACTTGCACACTTTTTCCCAAGTAGCAAAGATGACGTCTAAAGACGTCTTATGGACGTCATAGACGTTATTAAGACGTCACATGACGTCACTTTGCTACTTGGGTTTTTGCTCTTTATTACAGAAGAAGTATGATTTCGATATTTCAATATCTCCATGGCAGAAACAAGTGGCATATACTTTTGCATCAAAGCGTTTTAGAGATACTTATTATCATGATATTGGTACGTAACATCTGAATTGATAAACAAGATATTGGCAAGAAAAATGTTTATGTTCAGAAAAGGTTATACGTAAATTTTCTATTTTGAAGATCTCGAATTTCATGAAGCTGTATATCCAATCAGAGTCTCTATATATGAAGTATATAATTATGGTAACGTAACTGAAGTTTGGGCCCAAGATTCCGATGATGAGAGTCGGTGGTTTCCATTGTGGGAGGGAGACCCTCAGTTCTACGGAATTTCTACATCCTATAGACGCAGACATTCGGAATCACGGATATTTTCCCCACCTTTAAGGTCTTGTAACTTTAAAACCAAAAAGTTCAGACTACAATTTATATCCAACTCTTGCACACAGCTAGATGCTGTGTTGCTGATCGGTACATCAAAATTGATTTTTCCTAAAAATCCTGAAGATAAGAGTTTATCTGAACTGTTACATCGCATTTGGGTACAAAGACATTCTTGTTCGAATTATTGTATTTGTTGTTCTGAACAAGAACAAAATGACTTTCACATCTTTCACAAGAAAGATGCTTGGAACATGTATCTATTGGAGGACTTTTATAATACAACACGTGATTATGAAAATGCACATTCGGATATACTTGATCTTCAAAAGGAATTTCCTAAATATTGCGTTATTTGTAAAAGGTATTATAATTGTCGATATTAAGTAATATTAAATCTTATTTTATTTACTTAATAATGAAAATGTGTTTCAATGTTATTTGCAGCGATGTAGCAACGAATTTTCACAAGAGCAAGCTCGCGCACAAGCAAGTATCTCAAGAGGAAGATGTGCCATCTTCTAAGCAGGGACATGTGAATCACCCTTTATTAAGAAATTATTGGAATTATGTAAAATTTATAGAAGATATCAAACTCTCTTCGGGAGAATACAAGGAGCAACTTGACAGTTTTTCTACGCTTCCTGTAAAATATTTAAAGTTTATTTTTCGTAATAATTTATTACAATATAATCTCATGTATTAAAATTTTATATTTTGTTTTTGCAGGATGAAATAATACTAATGATATTAAAATACTTGGATATGAGGTCGTTTTGCCGTATGAGCCAAGTAAATAAACGCCTCAATAATTTAACACAGGATCCTTTTAAATGTTTGAACTTACGAAATTTAAGAAATGCATACTCTAAGGATTCATCCTTTTGTTATGACAAAATTCTGTTTTATTTTGCATCCAAATGTAAATATTTACAACAGTTAGATCTTACAGAGAGCTGCATTTCTGCTCCGGATTTCGTAAACTTTCTTCAGAGTTGCGGCGATTGTTTAACGCACTTACGATTAAGTAGTCCAAATGGCAAATTTGTTGACAATTTATCTCTATTAAAAATTTCAGAGATATGCAAAAATTTGAAAGGTACGTAAATAAATATGATTGTTAAGATTACAGATAAACTGCAGTATATGACTAATATGTACATTTTTTTTTAAGTATTGGATCTCAGTTATTGTATTCTGGAGGGAATGGACCAAGAAGTTTCGAGTCTCGAAAATCTAGAATTTCTAGAGAATTTAGATCTTAGAGGGTCCGGTATAAGAGCTGAATCTCTTTGCAAAATACTGCAAAAGACTCGCCGGATGCGTGACTTAAATCTGAGCAATCCTAGCGATTATGATGTAGAACCACTACATTTGGACGCAATTACAATACAATTACAATATTCGTGTCCAGACTTGGAAATAATAGATTTATCGGGCAATATTATTACATCGCGAGGTATTCATGCCCTCGCTGAATGCAAGAATTTACGAAAACTGACAATGATGGAGATGTACGTGTGTGCTACATTTTCTTTTAAAACACATTATTCTTTATCAAAATGTGTGTGTGTTTACATTTCTTGCAAGCATTATGAAACAGTTATGTTGTTTTTCTTTTTGCCGTATAATAATATGATTTTTGTGACAGGAATTGCAGGTGTACAATCGATAAGCATAGCTTACGTAGATTGTTTTCCTCCTGTCAATGCTTAGAAGAAGTCAATTTGATAAATGATTTTGATATGACTTTCAATAATTATGTCTACGAAGGACTGACACTGTGTAAAAACTTAAGACAAATATACTTGGATTATGTGTCTTATAGTTTCGCAATTCTCGAGCAGTGCCCTAAACTGCAAACAATCTATGTTATACGGAACGGGTCCGATGACATGCGTGATAGCCAGGCGTTCGTTGTTCAGGCAAAGGAAAAATATCCACACGTGTCCATTCTTGAATATCAAAACAAAATCATATATGATGATGATAAGGAATGTGAAGGATGGTGAATATGTGAAGAAAAGTGGCTTCCTTACCGATTTGGCTGAAATTTAACAATATATTATGTATTTTGGCGTGTTAAATTCGAATATAAAAGCTAAAATCGTCGCTCTTAAGTAGAACGAAAGTTATAAAGATAAAGTACTAAAAGTGACAATTTTTGGGTTAAGAAATATGCTATATCGGCAGGGTACTAAGTACATACCAGAGAAAGCATGCGCAGTGATGTAAAAGGGCGCAAAATTATTTAAAATAAATAAGAATTTAGAAATAATTTTTGTATATTATAGTATGAAAAAATATTAGAAGTAGGCGGGGGAGGGCCTCCACCCTTTCCCCTGCACTTCCACCCCGAAAAAAATCTATCCAAACCCAAACCTATTTCTGACAAACTGAAATTTTCGTTTTGCACTTTTAATCCAGTAGAATTGCAAAAATAATTTCTCACGATAGTCTCAGTTTGCAGACCATGAGCCATGTCTACTGCAGTCATTTTTCCATGAAACTTATTACTTTTAAATTGAATTGGCAAGTTTTTTAAAATTTTGTCTTCTTGTTTTTGATTTAATGTGCTTCGCAATCAATTCTATCGACAAAATTGTTTAAAGCAAAATTTCTAACTATACGGATTTGTCATTTGTATTTCTTTTTATATAATGTATATTAAACGACAAAATATTAATTCTATTTAGGTTAACAAAATAGTATATAGATATATTACTTGATAAATTAATCGGCGATTATAATTCAACCGACAGAATTACTTAAAGTAAAATTTTTAACGATATAATTTGTTATTTCTGGTCTATTTTTTAAATATTAAAAAAAAGTTAGTAATTCGATATGTTAATAAAATAGTATAGGTATTATTTAATAAATCAACTGGCAGAATTAAAACAAATGTTTAATTGTATTATTCCAAATCTTTTCTGTCCATTTGTTAAACAACAAAGAATTAATTTTCTCTACATTTGCAGAATGACAAAAGTATTATAATTATTTAATAAATTAATCGATAATTTCCCTTACAGAAAAGTATTACTGACTAAATACTTAAAATCTCAGTGATTTAATACTGTCAATATTTATTTGGGAAATACTGGGAAAATACTGGTAGTGATAAATATTATAGGTAGTGATTATAAATACTATACAGAACTACTGGTGCTTAGTATTGAATTACTCACCGATATTTCGATTTCTGATATATACTCGGCATAAAAAAAATTATTTTTTTTGAAATTTAATTATTATTTTATAACTAAATTTGTTTTTTAAGATGCAGTCTATAATTATAAATATTTTCTGGTATTTGATAAACACACTTACCTTGGTGGGATTCGAACTCGAGACCTCTGGATCGTGAGCCATCTGCCTTACGTGGTAGACTACTTCTTAATTTGATGTAAGTGTTATATATAGTCTACATGTGTCATAACCAGCGCAAATATATAATTTTTCAAAAATCATCTTAAGGAGGCTCTTACCCGGCTGCTCTAATCAATGTAGCAACCGAAAAATTATCATTAATAATTGGTTATAAAATTATCGGAAAATTAAATAAAAAAATAAATGATGATTTTTACATAGTGTAAGAGTAAGTTATATGTTCTATTAGTGTAAATATTAAAATTTATACAATAAGTCAGTTGACTACGTCAGTGCTAAAGAGCAGAATAATAACATGCGCGTGTTACAACGTCGTCTGTAGCAGTCTGAAACTAAAGTGAGGTGTAGCCGTGTAGCATTGTAGCGATTGATGCGAAGAGATGGAGCCAAAAGAAAGATATAACGTGAGAATGTTGAGAGGGAAAATGAAAGGAAAATTCTCGAAAATAAAGGTTGCAATATGTCAATGCGCGAGAGAATAATTATGCCGCTACCATACAGCGCAGAGAAAAGACATGTGCAAGTGAGGTTAGAAACTTCGCGCGATTTTGACACTCGGAAGATCATTCGCCTAACCTGTCGTACGTCATATTAAAACTACAATATCTTTTATAACTCATCGTTAACACCAAGTTTTCTTCTTATCATTAGAAAGATTATTATTTTAACTACAATTCCTTAGTTTTTTGTTTACCTGGCTCGCAAACTTGCCAAGAAAATACATCACTTCCGATGAAAATTTTAGTGTTTACCATATGCCCTGTGTTAAAAATGCGAATTTCAATACTGATATTTTTTAAATTTTTATCGTCAACCTATGCTAAAGTTTTGGGCATCGGTTCGTTGTGGTTCACTTTACAACATAATTTAATTTCATAAAGATCTGTCGTTTTATGATCGAGGTAAGAGCCTCCTTAAGAAACAAATTCAGTTTAAAAAGAGTAATAAAATTTTGAATTGGATATAAGAATGATATCCGCAGTACTATTTCAAAACTTGTACACTTTTATCACGACGAATTAGTACAGACCTTCATATAAAATGTATTTGTGCCTTACTTTTATCTCTCTTCCTTAATATTATCAGGAATTACCCATTATAATGTTTCTATACAAATTGTAGTACTGGTCAGTGATTAATTTCACATGGAATATTCAGTTCAGTACTTGAGTATTAACATTAAAATACTGGCCAGTGATTTATTACACATGGAATCCTCGGTCCAGTATTTCAGTACTAACATTGAAATACTCATCAGTAATTCAACACAAGTATTTATTACACAAGTATTTATCACCTAGTATTAAATGCTTTCTCATCAGAAATTTAATACTAAGTATTCAATACTCGTCCTGTATTAAATACTTCTACTTCTACTACTTCTACTACTACTACTACTACTTTCATAAATTACTGACCAGTAATAAAATACTGTGCAATACTTGAATCACAGTGATTCAAGTACTAATAAATACTTAATTTTAGTATTATTAATACACAAAATAAGTATTTATTACTAACCAGTTAGTAATACTTTTTTGTAAGGGTTTATTGGCAGAATTTTATTGAAAGCAAAATTATTCCTATTCTCTTTTTTACATGATAACCCTAGAAAAGTAATGTGGGGTAATACGTTGCCCCACGCGAAATTCAAATTACGCCCCTGACTTAGGAAGGTTAGTTTTCATACTGAGATCCTAACCATAATTTAGTTTAGTCATCCGGCAGTCGACCTCCGTCATTAAGCGAGTGCGTTAGATCCGTGCAGCAGCTGTGACCGAAAAAGAAAATCGTTTGGGGTAACGTAGTACCCCTATACTTAACCGTTTACGTTCGACTTTTATCACAGTAAAATATATTTCAGATTTTTTGTAAAAATCGGTAACAAAAAATTATACACTTTATAGCACTCCCCGGAAAATTCTACCCCTGTTTCATATATAATTCTTTAAGATTCGGTCAATTATTTCATTTCTGCCGTTCTTGCACAGCAACTGATTAAAACTTTGTAAAGTTTTTGTGGAGTTAATTTTACTGTTTCCATATACTTTTATAACTTTTGACTACCTTTCAAATAAATAATAATCGACAGAATCTGTTTTACTTTCCATTTTTTGCGATTTTTTTCATCCGACAGTTTTTCGTCATTTTCTCTACTTTAGACGTTCAAAGAAATATGTTTTTTTTAAGAAACGAAAAAGTCGCTTACATGCCCTTGAAGATTGTCTATTCGTCTTTCAAAATCCGTTGGATTTTTTAAAATCGGTGAATTTTATGAAAAACTACAACATTTCTTATTAAAAAAGTCATTTCAGCCCAATTTTTGGTTCTTTGTTTTGTTTTTAGAGATTTTTTTACTGTTTTTTTTTCACTACCGCAAATTGATGACTACTATCGTCTTCCCTATTAAAGAACAAACAAAATTATCTATTAAAAAGTTGTCTAACAACAAATAGAAACATTATACACGCGGTACAAGTTTGGGGTAATTTATTACCCCGCTTGGCCTTTCACGTATGAGAAAATTCATATTACCTCTCTAGGGTTAAAACTATGTCATGACATAATAAAAATTCGCTGAATTAAAATTATGTCTAGACATAATAAAAATTGGACGAATTAAAATTATGTCTAGAGTCTAGACATAATAAAAATTGGATGAATTAAAATTGTCTTGACATAATAAAA